CCTTTTTCAGACCCTTTCCATACATTTTAAGACCTCATCGCCACTTTGATTTCTAACCGGTTACCTTGGCGACACACTTTACCTCACATTGACTATATACAGTATTGATTGTCCTTCCTCCTTATCGTCCAACCATTTGTGTTATTTTTGGATCTTCAAGTATTTTTGGATCTTTAAGTATTTTTGGATGTTTAAGTATTTTTGGACCTTTAAGTATTTTTGGATCTTTAAGTATTTTTGGATGTTTAAGTATTTTTGGACCTTTAAGTATTTTTGGAACTTACGGTATTTTTGGAACTTTAAGTATTTTTGGATCTTTAAGTATATTTGGAACTTTAAGTATTTTTTGGAATTAACGTTATTTTTGGAACTTTAAGTATTTTTGGACCCTTTCCATGTTAAGACCTCATCGCCACTTGGAGTTCTAACCGGTTACCTTGGCGACACACTTTACCTCACATTGACTATATACAGTATTGATTGTCCTTCCTCCTTATCTTCCAACCATTTGGACGCAGACTTGCATTTCCCCATAACGATGTTGTTTAACAACCGGCGTAAACGGACCTCCGCACGCTATCAAGCAGTGAGCGCGCGATGTCCTGTTCAGATGACGTCAAACCCAACGGGATGCCATAAATAAACTACACAGAATCACACTACACACCTACGCAATGATTACATTCAGGCAGACTGTAGAATACAACCTCTTTGGACCATTGATATACTTATTGGAAACAAGCTACAAAATGTAATAGCTTGGAAAATGAAGTTTAATACTTTTTAATATCCTTCATTTTCGCTAAATAGATTTATCAACTTGTAATACTTTTTAAGACCCCGCGGACACCCTGTTCAGTCTCTGATTGCATGTATTGTGCACTAAACATTGTAGTGGAAATGTCTTATGTTACCTTTATATGCTAAAACCAAATGCTTCTAAAAGCATCGTCTAACACTACTGTACCGTTTCTTCATATGTGCTGTTTCCTCTGCATACTCTAAAGAGGGTCATTATTCTCAAGCGCTTCAAGGCCACAGGGCTGATCTGGCAGACTATGCTGATACTCCTCTTCACACTAAGTTTGAACTTCCATATGCTGATAACCGTTATACTTTCGACCGCTACACATAAAACTGTCTGCCCGCCCTAGCTTGTATATAAGCTTTGCTATTCTGTGACTATGGCGCACACTCTTGCAGACTATCCTGTACTCTGTGAGACCTGTGCCTTTGAAGCTTCAAATAAATAACCAACAAGACAACGCTGCTTGCTTTCACCAGTTTATTATTGATTACTCTCATTGTACATCTTTACAGTATTGACGAGTTTAAAATATCCACAACAACATGCCTCTTGTTCATCATCTATACCTAAACATTTCATTTCTTTCAGGCTCTACTCCAGCGAGTAACTGTAACCTGTGTGGAGCCACAACAACTCTGTTTTGCCCGTCTTGTGACAATCAATCTTTCTGCGATGCGTGCGATGGCCTCTTTCACCGCCACCCTCCCAGAGCCAATCACAAGAGAGACAAAATACAGAAAACCAGACAGGGTAAGCCAGATTACAACCTTTTGAAATAAGTAATTCAGCATTGTTTTGTTTTTGTTGACCGCTATGTTTTTGTAATTCGTTTCCTGATTGGCTGTAGAGGCCTGCACCATCTGTGGGTCTTCTGCTCACGCTGCGTGCTCCACCTGCGACCAGAGGCTGTGTGAGAACTGTGACAAGCTGTTCCACTCTCACCCCGACCGCATAGGACATCACAGAAGTATTATTACACCATCTAAAACATCCAGGTGAGGAGAACAGGAACTTTATTTCACAGTCACTTCTTTATTTGGCAAACGTGTACCAAGATCGAAGGTCACAGGTTAGATTTACTCTTTTGTACTTTCCTTAATATTTTTGAGCATCCATTCAAGATAGCTGCTGTTCTGTGAATACGGTCTCCCCCAAATGGTAAATACTCTCACTGCTAGAGGTGGGAGGACTTCAATCTCAGCACTCAAACCTTTAAGCAACTTAATTCCTAGCATTAGCAAACCCCTAAAAGACATATGCAAAAACATAATATGCTCCAGCAAACTCTGTCATATAGATATGAAGAGTAACTTCCGAAGACGTATTGTCCACTATTTTACTTCCAATTAGTTCGATCTGAGTGAAAACTAGATATTTAAAGGGGACCTATCATGCAAAATGCACTTTTGTACGTCTTTTATACATGAATATGTGTCCCCGGTGTTCCAGGGAACTCACCAAGTGTCAGAAAACACAACCCTCTCTATTTTCCTCCATACCCAAATCTCTTAAAAAGGGGCTGCAACGGATCTGNCGCCAGACGTAAAGCCAAATGCCACTCTGAAGTAATGAGCCACACGGACAAAGAAAAAGGACACTTCAAATCAAACTGCGCTCTAAGGAGCCTCGTAGCCTGTACATCCTCCAATTCCGCGGTATTGACACCGAGCCACATATCGACTACAGGATTTAGAGGTGTGACGATCCGCGTGTGCTGCCGCCCATTGGGCGCACCAGATTGCGACGCTTCTTTGGCATCGGGTAAAAACCGATTCATTGTCAATATAACAAACAAGACCCCCACAAAAAATCATCAACACGCTCATTTCAATCTGCATTTCACAGCATAATGACAAACCTCTTGAATAATTAGCTTCAGATTGTCTCGCCACTTGACCAGGATCGATCTCGTGCCGATAGCTAACGCAGGATGACAAGCACACGCAAGTTGAGGGCGAGAGAACAGAAGAAAAGTCACAACGCGCACAACAGAAACACTACCTACAAATGCTCAAGAAAAATTCGATCTATGTGACCAACATCTAAGTATATTTCGGAATATAGTTTCCAAGAAGACGGATGACATAAGTCTCAACTATTATCTATAAAAAAAATGTGTACCTAGACACACAGCAGCGAATAATTATGGAGGAATAAGCATAATGGGAATATCCCGAGCGCGTTTAGTATGAAAATGCTTGTACATACTATGACTTACACAGTGTACTAGTCCACTTTGAAGACAAGCCAAATAGAATACATGTAGATCCCCGTCCTAGAGCGGGCTTGCAATACACACAGTACACTTCATTTGGTGATTAAGGCTTCTTAAAAAAGACATTATTATCAAATAAACATAGTACAGTTAGAGCAAGCAACCGCGGCCACACCCCATCCAGTAACGTCCTGATGGTATAATGCGCAGCGGCATATATACTAACAGGACTGTGGTCCAACACGAATCTTGCTCAATACGCACAATATTGACGAGGCACTGCGAGGTACCGAGCTATAACAGACCAGCGAACAGTCACATCAATGTGGTAAACTAAGCGCTTCACACTACAACGTAGCCGTACATATGGTAGGATCGCGCGAGTCTGAGACAGAGACGAGAAGACCTGAAAGTTAGACAAGACATGTATGTCAAAACGACCGGGACACAAGGACAGAGACTCATTTTAAATCAGATCAGTAGTAGAGTAGAGTCATTTAGTGTTACAGACATCCAGTGTGATGGCCTATATAATGGTGCAACATCACATTTCCAAAGTTCCATCCGTCGTACTTGTACCGTTTATTAAAACCACCCTGTTTGATGAAGGGTTATTTGTATTCCTCAGAGTGCATCCATGTACAAGTGTACATAGAACACCCCCACTGCGTCTGCTCACTGGTGTTCACCTATAAGGCCCCCGCGAAGTCGAGGAGGCCAAGGAGTGGTCCAATTGGCCCCCACATCCACACGTTTCGACGCAGGGCTGCTAAAGGCAAGTAAATGAGCTAACGTGTCTAATGGTCAGTGTATTGCTACATGTATAAAAAAATGAGACATGCATCTCTTCAGCAGGGTCTAGTTTTATGACTTGAGCCTGTCTAAATACGCGACAAGTTTGCTCATCTACGAGAAAAATATAACGGAGGGTTCCAACCACCAAACGATAAATGACAGTGGAAGGCGTAAAGAGAAGAGCGAGCCGAAAACACTGCGTTTGTATGTGACCCTACTTGCCAACACCCCGATTTCTTCTCGCCGGCCCACACGACTCCCCTCACAGCGGCAGCACACACACTCCCTCCCCTCTCCACTAAAATATTTACGTAAACCTTTCATAGTAAGAGTACCTAGCTACCGCACGGCAGGCCTGCCCGGTAGCAGTCATCATCGAAATTCAAAATAAACACAGGACATGTCTTTCGCGCCTTTCAGAATATCTGACTAAAAACTCTATTCGTGTCACTAACAATACATGATACGCACATAAAACAACTATCTTGAGACTTGTCACCGGCATAACGGCACAAGAGAGTCAAAAATAAAGGAACAGCTCCACATGCAGAGCAACCAGCTCTGCGTCAGTTGCGCTGATCGTGTCCCGTTGTTATTATAAGCGACGAAGCAGCACAAAATTAAAGTCTGAGAGGGTCTCAGGCAGGACAAGAGCGAGTTTACCAGCAGAGAAAACAGAACCAAGAGTAGCCGAGACAACCCTAATATCACAAAAACGAAACGTAATCTCCCTCCACTAGCGTACCTCTCCTTTCCTGTAAAAGTACAGGTCCCCAGTCATTTGCCCCAGCCACACACATGACAAGCGCCAGTTGCTCATTCCATCTCTTCGTTTTTTCCTGCGATCGCATCTGTTGCAGCTGTATGTTTAAGCCTTGTTGGAAAGAGGATCCTAGCTTCAATGATATCAGGATTGTTGTTGTAACTCCAATATTAAGCAAAATGTCACATTATAGAGTGAAGTGATTGCCACTGAGTCATAATTTGAAAAAGACGTCAAAAGTTCCTCTTCGCTGGAATCCATCAAGCTGATTGAATTATTAGCTGGGGCAAATGACCAGAAGGCTTATGGACGGGAAAATACTTTCTTTTGGATTACTTGTCGGGTAAACTCGCAAGGTGCGGGGTGTTAAACACACAGACGAGAAACACCGGCTGTTGTTATGCCCGTGACGTTAAATTATCTCGGTTTCTCCTCTGTAATGCGTTACAAGCTTCAAGTTGTATTTATCATCTGGAATTGCCGAAAACACAAGTTTAATATCTGAAAGCCAGAACTTTGTTTATTTGAAATCAGATGAAACTGTCACGGACCCTGCCGTGTTATCTAGATTACTATACGGTTTACATTAATAATTTCAGTGAGAGGAGGGGAGAGGAGCTGCTGCTGCTGCTGCTGCGCTGAGGGGGAGCCGAGTGAGAGCGAGGTGCCTGTCTTCTTCCCTTTACAAGCTTCAAAACTGTATTTATCGTTTGTTTTTGGAAATAAAAGTTTCATATTCTGAAAGCCAAGACTTTGCTTATTTAAAATCAAACAAAAAACTCGAACCCCGGAAAAATATTTTTTTACACAAATACACGTATATTTTTGAATTGATCCATAAAAGTGGGGGGGCCAATGGCCCCTTGGCCCCCCTGCTTCCGGCGCCCCTGGTGAGGTGTTATACAATTGTACTGTACTCTGGAGAGTTTTTAAAGGTAAAAAAATAAACGGCATGATGGGATGTGACACATAAAAAAAGCCAAATGATAAACCAAATGTTAAATAAATTATTAAATGGTTATGCATGTTTCCCCTGAAAATGAACAATATCTGCTGATCAGCATTTTCCTTATCAAAGTGTAGCTTAATTCAAACAATTGTGTAGAGTCAGAGATAATCTTACAATGCCTCATATTTAGTATCTGAAATTGTGTGCAACTGTGTGCTTGCTCTAACTGTACTATAGTTTAATTTGATAAATAAATGTCTTTTAAGAAGCCATTAATCACCAAATGAGGTAACAGTATTTTTATAAATCTTCAAAGTGGACCTAAATGTAAAAAGTTGTAAAGATTTTAACACTCTTACAATGCCTCATATTTAGATGATTGTGTACATTTTTTTTAGGTTAAATCTGATATAAATAGAAGTATTAAGAAATATACTTAAGTAAAGTCAATTTCATGAAAGTGCAGGACTTATTGTACTGTACTTTTCGATCTGCAGGTCTCCCTTGAAAAAGAGATCGATGATCTCAAGGGACCAATCTGATTAAATAAAGGTTTGAAATTAAATGAAATGAGATTGAAATGAGGCTGTGTTTTTTCCCGTCTGTGTTTTGTTCCCCCGTTGTAGCAGCCCGAAGGCGCAGAGCATCGCTCCATTAATCTAATTATCAGAGTGGAATCACAGATTGGAGGGATTAGCAGGCAGGAGCTAAAGCAGCTGATTTGAAGATGTCCGTTAATCTCACTCGTCTGGAGCCTCATTACTTTCAGAAGTGGACATTTGGCTTCACAGTCAGCAAAAGTAAGCCCAGTGTTTTATGAGTGAGATAACGTCAGCAGTACTGACACCGTGGTCCTGGTTACTCTATGTAAAGTAAAGCAGCTTGTGAATGCTTTGCTCAGGGGCACTTCAGCTGATTCTCTTTGAAGGACAAACAATGTGTCACCCTCAAAAGCACTTTTATCTCCGTCCTTTTATTTCATTGTGTGATGGCTTTATTTCTGCCTCTGGGGTTAATATTGCTGAAACAATTCAGTGAAAGTTATTGATTTGATCTGAGCGCAGTGGAGGGAGAGAAAAGGAGAGAGATTGAAGAGGTTATTTACTCTTGTTCAGAAGCTTTTCTGTTGACGTAACACAAATGATGTTGGTCCTACTGGACAGTGTAAGCCGTAGCGAACATATTGGATGTTGTTATGGCTGAATTATGATTCTTAAACAAATTATTCCTGAATTGAGTTCACAATTTGCGAATTTAAGTCTGATAGGTATTTAGGCACAGTTATTGTACAGCTACATTGTATTGAGATGAATTAATACTAATGCATTTGGGAAGTTTGTCTAAATACAGCAAAAATAAGAAAGAAAAAGATAATGTTCATGTAAATTGAGGATTTAAATACAATTCTTGTTGATGTAAAATAAACCTCCTGAACAGTTTGAGGCTGTTTCCAATGTTGGACTGAACAGTTCCATTAAACTTACTGAATAAATAACATTTTCATATACATAATACTGTATAACCTGTGAAATGTATTAAACTGTACAACACTTTGATTAAGCAATAAACTGGTATTCAGCCTTAATATCTTTATAAATACTAATACACCACTGTTTATATAGTAATATACACATTTTTACAAATGTATTATTTTAATATACTAATACAATATGTACATTTTACTTTCACTTTTTATGTTTGAAAAAAATATATTATTTTACTTTATTATATTATAAAATGGAGCAACTGTTACAAAATTCCCCCTATGGATAAATAAAAGTATAAAAGAGAAATTATAATATTTGTAATCAGTGGGCCATGGATCAATATATATGTGATAGTGATTGATTGTGATTTAACAGATTGAAATCTTATAATATAAATATTCATTATTCACTAACAATGTCGTATTTCAGACTAATCTAAAATAAAGCTGCATATTGATTCCTACTGAATATATGTTCTGTTCCTTACAGTGCGTCTCTCACACTGCTCTCACCTGGCTTTGCACCTATGCTCTCAGTGGGAGTGAGACAGAAATAGAGTGAAGTCTGTCAACCTCCTGCTGCCTGAGTCTTAGTTTACTGTCTGTTTATTGTTTCCTGTCTGACTCCGTCTGTCAAATCTGACCTGTTTGGGTGGAGATTTATCACTTGGCTTTTGTGTCTAGGTGAGAATACAGGGTATATGCAGGAATCCTCAAGTCAAAATGTATGGAAAGGGTCTTAAAAAAGGTCTTAAAAAGGTATAAAATGTAAGACCTCATCGCCACTTTGAGTTTTAACCGGTTACCTTGGCGACACAATTTATCTCACATTTACTATATACAGTATTGACTGTCCTTCCTCCTTATCTTCCAACCATTTGGACGACAACTTGCATTT